AAATCAGGGTCAACATAACGACTGAGGACATCAGCATATCCCACCGACTCCCTAAACCCCGGTCAGGAGCTAACCCCGCCATTATTGTTAAATTTGTACGCCGCAGTGTTAGAGACAAGTTCTTTGCTGCCAGGAAGAATGCGGGCACAGCCAAAGATCTTGGCTTCAGTTCAATCAGCCCCCTGTTCATCAACGAGAGCCTTACCAAAACAAATCGTGCCCTCTACTACCATGCCAGACAAGCAAAAAGAACTCTTACATATAAATATGCATGGACTAGACAAGGGCAGATCTATCTAAGAAAATCCGAGGAATCAGAAACCCTGAACATAAAAAATATTCAAGATCTATCAAAACTGGGCTACACCACCCAACAAGCTACAGTCTAAACAAGCGACAAGACTGATACCATAATAACTGCCACTCGTTATGAGTAAGCATCCATGTGCACACTGTAACAATCCATGTAAAAGTAATCAACAAGCCATTTTTTGCGACATCTGCCGTAAATGGTGTCACCTCAAATGCACATCTCTTAATCAAAAAGACCTTGAGACACTCGCATTATCTGACATACCATACTACTGCACAAACTGCATGAACAACGCCCGCCCGTTCCAATCATATGATATTGATGAAATCTCAGAATTCTTTCAATCGAACATAAACATCAATACACTTCTAGACCTACCCTCCCTATGCGACTCAACTACCCTATCAACCTTTAAAAACGAGGACCGTTATCCTGATAAATTTCACCCTGTACACGATAGTAAATACAATACCCTAACAGAACTTAAAAGCAACCCAAACCTTACCAAAACAGACAAGGATTTACTAATAGTACATTTCAATACCAACAGTATAAACAAAAATTTCCCTTTGATGACTGATGTCTTAACTCACTTCACTAAACCACCGGATATTATTGCTATCTCAGAAACTAGGCTGCGCGAAAACTCTACCTTCATCGGGAATCTTCCAGACTACACTTTTATTAATCAAAACTCCGCCACACAAGCAGGTGGCGTAGGGCTATACATAAAAAATACCATTCAATTCAAACAACGACACGACTTAAAAGTGAATAATGTCAACTTCCAAGCTGAAGATCTATGGATTGAAATTAGCACGTCATCTAAATCAAAGTCGAAAAATATAGTGATAGGTGTAATCTATAGACACCCTAACTCAAAAGTTGACCATTTTACGGAACAACTTCACAAAGTATTATCAAAACTGCACGAAGCTGGTCAAACAGCATACATCTATGGTGACATTAACATTAATCTTATACAACATGAAGAAAAAGTGAGCATTAATGAATATCTTAACATGCTTTTTGATCTACAATTTACTCCAATAATATTAATAACTTGACCAACACGTATCACTGACACGAGTTATACCCTTATTGATCATGCATACACTAATGACTACTTCAATAAAATAATTTCAGGAATTGTCTTATACCAAGTATCTGACCACCTCCCGATCTTCACACTTACAAAAAACAAGTGCGACTAACATCAGAAAAACAGTACACGTAACAATCATAAGAGACACATCTTAACTTCGATAAAGTGACATTTCTTAATGACGTCCAACAAGAAATTATATACATAACCTGAATACAGCCACAACAAACAATGCTTGTGACATCTATTTCACAATTTAAAAATAAACTTGACCATTTTGCTCCCCCACGTCCTATAACAAGAAAGGAAACTATACATTGCAAAGCCTTGGGA